AACATACATACATACATACATACATACTACATACATACATACATACATACTACATACATACATACATACATACATACATACATACATACATACATACTACATACATACATACATACATACATACATACATACTACATACATACATACATACATACATACATACATACATACATACATACATACATACATACATACATACATACATACATCATACATACATACACATACATACATACATACATACATACATACATACATACATACATACATACATACATACAATACTACATACATACATACATACATACATACATACATACATACATACATACACATACAACATACATACATACATACATACATACATACATACATACATACATACATACATACATACATACACATACATACATACATACATACATACATACATACATACATACATACATACATACATACATACATACATACATACATACATCATACATACATACATACATACATACATACATACATACTACATACATACATACATACATACATACATACATACATACATACATACATACATACATACATACATACATACATACATACATACACATACATACTACATACATACTACTACATACATACAACATACATACATACATACATACATACATACATACATACATACATACATACATACATACATACATACATACATACATACATACATACATACATACATACATACATACATACATACATACATACATACATACATACATACATACATACATACATACATACATACATACATACATACATACATACATACATACATACATACATATCAAACTGATCAAGTTGATAGCCCGACACAACTTATCTGTAATGATTTCAAACTTGGCTTACAATTGTACCAGATCCATTGCTATTGAGGGACTCAGGTCGTCCAAAATCTACTAGAATACATTGTGATATGGATATTCGGGAGAAGTCAACAGAACAAAACGATGTGGGCATTGTAGAAACATCGGGCACAATAGAAAAAAATGTCCAGCTCTATTATCATCATATAACCGTTAACTCTTATGTAATTAAAGTTTTTAAATGAATGTTTTTATTTCTAATAATTTAATGTTATTGCATTTATATAATTTGTCAATGTATGTACACCTAAATAATTTTTTTTAACTTTTTAATACATAAATATATTTAATATATTTATTTAATATAATATTTAATATATTAGTTATAATTTTTTTTAAAAATAATAATAATCCACCTTCTAAGTAGAGAAAATATTAAATTAAACAAATTAAAAGTTATTAAAAATTTATGTATACGATGACACATTTCATGTTCTGATTAGAGGATTAAATTTATTAAATTAAATTTTCAATAAGACTAATTTTAAAATATGTAAGTCTTGAAGATTAAATATGTAATTATACTAATTTATTAACTTATGCATCAATATTTTCGTTAATATTGATATGAGATGATATTGATTGATAACATTTAAATAATTAACTGATAAAATTAATAGATCGATAATCAAAATAAAAAATACTCGAAACTTGATAATTCTTACATTATAATCGAAACATTTTACATAAATATTATTAATTTATAATAATAATAAAAATAAACTATTTATTATATAATAAAATACGTGTCTGCTGAGTTGGCAAAGGCGCGTCCCCGGGGACGCGCCTTTCACACGTGGCATCCAACTCAGCGAAAAACACGGGTAAAGCGCGCCCCCGGGACGCGCCTTTGCCAACTCAGCAGAAAGGGTGCTAGTTCTGGAAATATTGGTCAAACGGTGTCATAAAAGTAAAATTATAATCAAACGGTGTTAAAAACCCCGTTAGTTCGTGTGTTGTATATGAGCTCCACCCTACGACCTACTGCGTATGAAACGTCCAACTTCTTTGTTTGATGCATCCGAATGCTTCACATGATTACACGGATGTGCCTAGAACATAAATATTAATATCTTTGCCAAAAACTCCATCAAATACTACTAAATTCAATATGTTTTTTTTATATGAATTCTAAATTTAGTTGTAATTCTATCTAAAAGAAAGGAGAAGAGAAAACTCCTAACTAGTTTAGAATTCACTACCTAAAAAAATATAAAAAAATAAAGACGAATAGCTTAGTCATCAGGTCAAATATAGTTGTTCTAAATTATGCAACAAATAGACTCATAGATTTTATAATTTTTAACATGTTAAAAATCATCTTTGAAATAATTGACATGGATAATAGGTGAAACAGATCAATTTTGAATATGAAACCATCATAAATTGAAGGCTGAATGGATACCACACGATTATAACCGACAAAAACACAAACAACCTTTTGTCTTCAGTAAGAAAAGAGGAAGTTGAAATTATTTTTGAAGTATCCCAGATTTAAAATCCATTATTGGACCCTTTTCAAACACTTGCGAAGTTGTCAGGCTTGGTATGTGGAGGAGGAGGAGGAGGAGGAGGAGGAGCTACAACGGGCGGCGGAGCTGGAGCGCCATAAATCTGAGGGTTGTTACCTTGTCTCGCTTTAGCTCTTCTATAGAAGTACAATCCCAGAACAAGTAATATGCATAAGAGAAGCAGCGGCATAGAGATGACTACAACCAAACCCATCTTTGCTTTCAACCTTTTCCCAGTGATTTCTTTGTATAGAGGAGACGGAATATATTTATACGGAGGTTTTGTGCTCTTAAATTGAAGAGAGGGTTCAGATTCTGTAAAGGACAGAGTGGAAGAGGGGAATTTTAACGTGTTTGCTAACTGTATGCAGCTTAAAGTTGAAGCATCCTCGGCTGGCTAACCTTTTTCAAGCCAATGCAGGCTTTTGAGAATTTCCAGGGGAGAAAGGTGTAGTGATGGTGAGATAAGTACTCGTTGTTGGCCAAATCACTACATTCTGATTCTCCTTGGGTGTCACTTTAGACTTTAGAGTAGTTTCATCCTCTCCACTTGCAAAGCGTCTTCTCTAATTATGCTCCGTTTAGTATTACTAGTAAACTTCTTTTTTGAGGGCAATGTGAGATGCAATCTCTGGTCAACATCCTTGATGCAATCTCTAATCATACTCATTAATGCTCATTATAATTATTTTTTCTCTTTTATTCAGTGAAGTGCCAGTAGAAAGACTAGAGACAGTGGCTTATTTGGATAACCTGAAGAACAGAGAGCGGTTCACTGAACAAGGGGATGCACTAACATTTGAGTCGGAAGTTAGTGTGGATTTTCATAAGCAGGCTTATCCTTTTTTCCCATCTTTTATAATTCTAATTTATGTTTGTCGTTTTATTACAGTTCTTAGTGAAATAAGTTGATGAAGTACACCAACAACAATTGCCACCAAAGGAAACTGACTTTTGTGTTGAGAAAGGATGGACTTCCGGCTGCTGCTGGTTTCATTGTCACTTCCACACTACTTTTCTATGCCATAGCTTTTTCTTTTATGCTCCATTCTTCACCTTGGAACTTAACAAGTAGAGATATGTTCACAGTATTTACAGCCGCAAAAATGATAAAATAGTTTTAATTAATTTGATGTGGAGGTTAAGAATATTTTTTATTTACGTTGTTTTCATGTGATATTTTTTTCATTATTTTTCTCATCATAATCTCGAGTGTTTATTTTTATGTCACAAAATATCGTACTCTAACGTCTTTTATAATCATCATAGATATAATAAACTATTCTCATCATCTTTTATCATTCTACTAATTTAGATTTTTTTTAAAATCTTTTTAGAAACTTATAAAATTAAATGTAAAAAATAATCAATTTTAAGAATTTTCTCATATTTGAGTGGTTTAAGGTGTTCTTTCAAAATTTTAGAGACTAGAAAGCATTCTTCCAATAAGACGAACAATATACTACAAAACTAAACTCATTAAATAGTCGTAGGAGGAGATCATAGCATTATAAGATCAAATGTTTAAATATATTTTTATCAATTTTAAATAAATTTAATAGAAAATTAATTAAAAAGTGAAATTAAGTGATTTGATTTTATTATTATTATGAATGAAAGTAGACAATGATTATTAAGAAAGACAATTACTTTTGATATTTTCGTGAAAAAAGATAAAAGAGAACAGTCATATAATCACATTGTTAATAATTTAACGAAAAACAAATTGAAAAACTAATGATGGAATTAAAATTTTCAATAGCTCAATGACAAAAAATGAGGTGGCGTTTAAAGTTCAGTGATTTATATATTTACATATAAAAATACGAATTAATTTATTTTAATAATTTTAATAATCGTTGTTATTTTTAAAAGTCATGAATTTAAACATCAACAATTATCATTCATCATCAATTCAAATGATTGATAATGTTTGAAGATATTATTTGCTTATTTTAGTTTAATAAAAAAATAAAACAGGAAGAAAAGAGCGGAAATAATGGAATATAAAAATCGAGAAGAGAAGGCAAAATAGAAACATAAGAAAATCGATCAAAGAGGGTAATCTGAAGAAATAGTTGCCCAAAATCCATCAAAGATTTATGGAAGAGAAAATCGGAAGAAAATGTGTTGAAAATGCAACAAAAAGTTCCATAATGACAGATAGGAAGTGAAGATATAACGAGAAAGAAGCTCGAGTTCGTAGGAAGATAGCAAAACGGTATTTTGTTTTCTTTATCTGCGGTAATTTGCTTAAACTTTCTCGAGCTCGAAACAGGTCAGAGTAAAAAAAAGTGTCTTTTCCTTTCTGGAATCTCATAGCTCCTTTGTTGCCTGTTGTATTCAATTTCCCCATGAATTTCAAGCCTATTGTCCAAAGCTGGCAATGAACTCTTAAATTCTTAAAAATTTGTTGATCCGCATGATAGAAATTTTCTTTTAGCTTATATTTGTTGAATTCATTTAGTGGGTTGAGCTTTGTATGGATTTTTGGTCAAATTGATTTCTGAAGAAATATAAAGGAGGCATTTTTTGTTGATACGGGTTCAAGTTTGATCTTTTTTGTTTCTTTGAGTTGTGCTTTATTGATTGATTTTTGGAGGGAAAAGTTTAAATCTGTGAGCTATGTGAGAACCTTGTTCTTGGGTTGCAAAGATGCACTTTATAATGGTGTCCATGGGTCTTTCTGTAGTTAGTGGAACATCTTTAGTAGGATTTCGGAAAATGGGTTTATGGAAATGGTGCAAAGAAACCCTAATTTAGCTGGAATTCTTGGGGGTTAAAAGAAGTGTATGTGTCTGCAATTTTTGGTGAAATAATTAGGTAATGGACTTTTAGCAGCGGACAATGCAACTGCCTAATCAGCACCCACGGATCAATCTCATTGAGTTGAAAGCTCAGTTAATACAGAGATTTGGGCCTGAGAGATCGAAACAGTACTTCCATTTTTTGAATAAATTGTTGAGCTTAAAGCTAAGCAAGGTTGAGTTCAATAAGGTTTGTTTTCTTGTTCTTGGGAGAGAGAATGTTAGACTACACAATCTCTTAATCTGTTCAATATTGAAAAATGCTTGTAATGCCAAAGTCCCTCCTCCACCTGGGACTATTCATGAGAGTCTGCAAACTGGGGAAGTTCTTTTGTCACCTCAGAAAGCTAGATCTGGAGCATCCATCAGGCTTATTGCCAAGACGGGTTCTTCTTCTCATGAATCAACAATTACTAATGATGTTGTTGTATCTGAAAATTGGGATACAACTTCTCGTGATATACAGAAGCCTCTGCAGCACCATCAAGAAATTTCGGGCAAAGCAAATAATGGAAGGGATGCTCTGCTTCCCAACCCTGAGATAAAGGGATCATTCAATGGTTTTCCTTCTGAAGATGGCAGAGATCAAAGTGAAATGTTGTTTGTTGAAGATGGAAAAGAGACATATGCTAGAAGTTCATTGCAAGCACCACCTGGAGTTCCATTATTCTCTAGGGGGACCCGAAGGTCTTTTCGTTTGGCAAGTAGTACTAGATATGCCAAGTCCTATGACATCGGTGGATTGCTCGACGCTGAGTCATTGAGGGAACACATACAGCAAATTGCTGCGCAGGAGGGTCTTGAAGGTGTGTCAATGGACTGTGCCACTATATTGAATAATGGACTGGATGTCTACTGAAAGAGGTTAATAAGGATGGCCATTGAGCTAGCAGGAACCAGGCATGGATGCAGTTTGAGAAAAAACAATACAATGAAGCATCATTCCCGCAGGAATCTTGTTAACAGTGTCTCAACGAGTCGCCATAAACAGATTCAAAATAACAGTTGGTGTTTGGAAGCTATAGATGAACATAGATACTACAAACTGGTTTCTTTGCTGGATTTCAAATTGAACCCGCAGAGGCTTGGAGAGGACCGGCAGTACTGATTGAGAAGTTATACATGCGATCATCCAAGGAGTAACACTTTGGGATTTGCGAGCCTGTCAGAATATTTTTTTTGGGAACTTACTGTCCAAAGACGAAAGGGATGAGAATTACAAACCCATAATTGGTTTCCCTGGTGAACCTTTAGCATTATTTGGTTCACTTAGTTGTCCCCCCTCTGTAATTGTAAGCCTACGAGGGAAAATTTTATTACAGTTTTGCAGGAATAATATGTTAGCTCCGTAATTTATCCAAATATATATATATATATATATATATATATATATATATATATATATATATATATGTTAGCTCTGTAGGCAGACAATTTTTCATAATGTAAAGTTCCAATCAACACTAAAGTCCAATTGGAATCTTAATATAAAAAAGTTTTGCTCACTTGACCGTTCTTACTATGTTTATCCTTCGCTCTGAAACTTTTCGATGAAGTAGGGTCATTTTAATCGCTTTGATTGGGAATTCTGGCGTATATTTTACTGTGTAGCTGTTGCAGAAGACTACTATCGGATAGAATAAAAATGTAATTGATAATTTGAGAAAATAAAAATAAAGATAAAAGAGATACAAAATTTACGTGGAAAACACCTAAATAATATAGGGTAAAAATCACGGGCAACGGTAGAAGAATTTCACTATAAGAAAATAGGAATTACAATCTTTCTCGATCTACTAAGGAGAAAACAATTATAATTCTCTCTTGATAAAAAGAAAAAAACAACTCTCAAGAAACTCTCTAATTTCTCTCTAGTATTGGAAGAAAGCTAGAATGCTTTGGGATGGTTTTGAAGCTAAATGAGCTAGGGTATTTATAGTTGAAGCTTAAGGACTAATTTGTAAATACCCTAAATTACAATGATTGAAATTTTGATTTAACCATTTTTTTCAATATTTGCTGCCACCGAAAGTTTGGTGGTTATTGAAAAATAATAAACCATCGAAAGTTTGCAACTTGCTTTGACTTTTTCCACAATCTCCCACTTGAAGATATGATTGGAACAATCATATCTTCACACCATTTTTTCTACCTTGTACCATCATGTTGCTTACATTTCTGACAGGCCACAGGAGGATCGACACCAGGTAAATTTATCAGCATTGATTGCCTTCGTCATAAAATCCGCTATATTGTCTTTGGTATGGATCTTCTGCATATCAACCATTCCTTCTTCCACCTTTTCACGAATGAAGTGGTATTGAACTCGTATGTGTAAGGATGGGCATGGGTCGAATTGGGTCGAGTTTTTGGTCCACCCGACCCGAAAAGAAGGGGACCTCCACCCGTGACCCGACCCCGAAATTTTTTTAGAAAAATCCGACCCGATCGGGTCAGGTTGAAACCCGTCGGGTTCGGGTTAGATGCCCATCCCTACGTATGTGTTTTGTCCTTGAATGAAATGTTGAATTCCTTGCTAGATGCAAGGCGCTTTGACTGTCACAAAACAAAGAGACATACTCTTGATTTTGCCCAAGTTCCTCCAATAGCATCTTCAACCAAATTGCTTCTTTACTGCCTTGTGTAGCTGCTACATATTCTGCTTCTGTTGTGGATGTAGCCACAACTGACTGCAACTTAGAAACACAACTTACATCTCCACCAGCAACTTTAAACACATATTCTGTAGTAGATTTGTTTTTTATCCAAATTCCATACACAGTCAGAATCAACATACCCATTGATAAGTAAAATTGATCCTTCGTAACATAATGCAACATTTGAGGTCCCTTTGATGTATCTCAAAACCCTCTTTACTGTATTTCAATGCTCTTTGCCTGGATTCGCCATGTATCGACTAACAACTCCCACTGCTTGTGCAATGTATGGTCTTGTGCATATCATAGCAAACATTAAACTTCCCACTGCCGATGCATACGGTACTCGAGACATCTCCATCCTCTCTTCTTCACTGCTAGGACTCATACTGGAGGATAATTTGAAGTTAATAGGAAGAGAGGTAGAAATTAGCTTACAATCTTGCATGTTGAATCTTGACAAGATCTTCTTCAAGTAATTCTTTTGTGAAAGCCAAATCTTCCTATTACTTCTGTCTCGGTGAATTTGCATCCCTAGAATCTTGTTTGCTGATCCCAAGTCCTTCATTTCAAATTCCCTAGCCAGTTGTGCCTTCAATTCTTCAATATGATCTTTGTTGGGTCCTGCAACCAACATGTCATCCATATACAATAACAATATAACAAAATCGTTATCACCGGACCTCTTGAAATAAGCACAAGGGTCTGAATTAAGTCTGTTGTATCCAATGCACATAAGGAAGGAATCAAATCTCTTATACTAACACCTCGGCGCCTGCTTTAGACCGTACAGAGATTTGTTCAACCTGCAGACCAAGTTCTTCTTTTATTTTTCTTCAAAACCTTCAGGCTGGAGCATATAAATCTCTTCTTCAAGATTTCCATGAAGAAAAGTTGTTTTAACATCTAGCTGCTCTAGATGTAAGTTCAATGTAGCACACATTGCCAAAACTACTCGAACTGTTGTTAGTCGAACCACAGAAGAAAAGATTTCATTGAAATCAATACATTCTTTTTGAGCATATCCCTTGACCACCAGTCTTGCACGATATCTCTCAATTTGATCGTCACCATTCGCTTGATTTTGAAGACCCATTTGTTACCAATTGGCTTCCTTCTTTATGGTAGTGTACAAAGTCCCATGTATTATTTTTATGAAGGGCTTCAATTTCTTCTTGCATCGCCATCATCCACAGTGAAGCATCTGAGCTGTTTATTGCCTCCTCGTATGTTGATGGCTCACCGTCCTCTGTTAAAAGGCAATATGCAATATTACCTTCTATAATATAATCTGAGTGTCAATTGGGACGTCTTCTCACACGATCTGATTGACGAGTTGTTGGAGCTTCAGAACTCTCTGGTTCTTGTTCATCATGAGCTGGTTATGCTTCAGAAGAATCTCATTGTTCAAGCTCATTTTCCACATGTATCTTAGTAGTCTCTGACTTTTCAACACTATCATCATCTTCTTTTCTTTGTAGCTTATCTTCTACAAAGATAACATCCCTGTTGATGATCACTTTGCGGGCAGTGGGATCCCACAAGCGATACCCCTTTACTCCGCATACCCAAGAATTTACATTTCCTGGATTTTGGATCCAGCTTTAAAATTTCTTGGGAGTTGTACATCACGTACACTATACTTCCAAATACATGGAGGTTTAAATAATTAGCTGGTTTTCCAGTCTACATCTCCATTTGTGTCTTCAACTCTATTGCAGTTGATGGAGCTCGATTCACCAAATAACAGACGGTATGACTGCTTCTGCCCAGAATGATTTTTCTAGGCCTGCATCCCTCAACATTGCTCTTGTTCTTTCTAACAAGGTTCTGTTCATCCGCTTTGCCACTCCATTTTGTTGAGGAGTGTTTGTCACTGTGAACTGTCTTTTGATGCCTTCTTTCCTACAAAAGTCTTCAAATTCTTCGCTTGTGTATTATTCTCTATTATTTGTTCTGAAACACTTGATCTTATTTCCATAATCAAGTTTCACCCGCGTTTTGAAGTTTTTAAAGTTGAAAACACATCTGACTTCTTTTTAATAGGGTACACCCAACATCTCCTAGAGTAGTCATCAATAAATGAGACAAAGTATTTTGCTCCGCCTAGGGATGTAATCGGTGCTTGCCATACGTCAAAGTGAACCAATTCTATAACACTTTTGCCTCTAGAATTTGATGTGTTGAATTTCAACCGGTGCTGCTTACTTGTTATGCAGTGCTCACACAAAGTAAGTGATACATTTGTTAAACCTGGAAGTAGCTTTTGCTCAACAAGGACTTTCATTCCTTGTTCTAACATGTGTCCAAGTTTTTGATGTCATAGCATTGCAGAATCTAAACTACATGAGGCAACAGAGGCTTCTGCTTCTAGCAAAGTCTCTCCCTTCAGCATGTATAAGTTTGTTGCTATCTTTTTGCCTTTCAGCACCACAAGTGCTCCACGGAACACTTTCATGATTCCTTTCCGTGTTTCAATCTTGCTTGCATTATTATCCAACAATCCGTAGAATAATAAATTTTTCTTCAGGCCTTTCACGTGCCGCACATCTCGAACAATTTTGATTGTTCCATCATACATCTTCAATTTGATGGTTCACACGCCAACGATCTCTAAGGCATGATCATTGCAACTATACACAGATCCTCCTGAGACATGTTCATAATGATGGAACCATTCTCTTCTTGAGGTCATGTGATATGTTGCTCCCGAAACAATGAGCCATATATCTGTAAATCATTTTCTGCCTTCCACGGTGGTTGACGCTTCACAACATAGAGCATCTCCATCATCTGAAGTGTTTGCAGTATTGCCTTGTGGATTGGAGTTTTTATTTAGACTCCAACAATCCTTCTTCAAGTGACCCTTCTTTCCACAATTGTAGCACTTTAAATTCTTCTTGCTTCTCGACTTCGATCTACCATGTTTGTGACTGCTGCTTTGGCCACGTTCTGTTGATCTCCCTCTCATCGTTGTCAATGCTTCTGCTTGTTGCAAATTTACTTGTCTGTCTTCCTTGTTCTTGCGCCGATTTTCTTCTTGTAGAATAGCAGCTGCAACGTCATCGAAGACTAGACTGGTGACATTATTGTTTGTCAAGTTGATGATGAGTTGATCATACGAATCAGGTAGACTTTGAAGTATAAGTTCAGCATGTTCTTGTTCTCCTATTGTACATCTTAAGGATATAAGCTGAGAAAATAGCGTGTTCAGTGTGTTTAAGTGTTCCGTCACTGAAGTAGATTCTGACATACGGAGAGTGTATAATTTCCTCTTAAGGAAAATTTTATTGTGCAACGATATGGCCTCGTACAATTTGGTGGGATGATCCCATATCTCCTTAGTTGTCTTCTTCTCCTCGATGCTTGACAACACTTCATCTGCTAATGCTAGATGAAAGTTTGACATAGCATTCCCGTCCATCTCGTTCCATTTGTTGTCGTTTGTGAAATCTACCAATCTTTCACTGATAGCTGCTAGACAACTGTCTTTCCT